AAAGTTGCTACCCATATATAATTGTGTGTAAGCATGAGATTAATTTTGAAACAAGGATGACTATAGCATGAATTGAATTACTTGAATAATGATTAGTTCTTGAATGAGACTAGAAAACAAAGAATAACTATAAAAGCATTAAGCTAGTGAGGGCAACAAGTGTAAGATAGAATAAATTGTAAAGTCATTAAGTATTTTGAGTTTAATTGCTGCCAGGAAATTGACAATTAAAGAATAGTTGCCATGGGTGTAAATCAAGGAGAATAACGGTTAAATAGCAAGTGATATCAATCGACTAAAAACACAAGAGTTTAGATTGGCAAACTAATATCCCACCAAGAAAAGTGAGTAAGGGGTGTCTATTTTTAAAAGTTTCATAAATTATATAATGATATACGTATAATAAACATTGCTAGTTTTCTTTAGATGCAATTGTGGATGGCATGAGTTGCTAGAAAATGATAGGTGGTTTAAATTCTTATTTGTGAAAAGATTTATACATTGTTATTGTGGATAGCATATGTTGGTAGAATGCTAGGCACTTGTGAATGCCATGTTTTTAGAAAGGTTTTGTATATATATATAAGCTATATATGTAAAACGTTTTAGAAATCAGGAAACAAGCTTTTTACCATGGTTTTTGTCAAAACGTGCCTTACTTGTTTTTGTGATATGTGTTCATGAATAAGCTTTATGTTCAGCATTCCTTGATTTAATATTTAAACATCATGCAAATGTCTTACATCATGAATTCTTACAAATGGATTTATAACATTGCCGTGATTTGTATTTTGGAAATGGTTTTAAAATAAGCTTTTGAAAAACCAATTTGCTTATAAATGGTTTTGTCAAATCGAGAAATTCGAGAGTAGGTCAAATGTCACATCAGAATAGTGTGACCTTTATGCATAAGTGATTTTTAGCTAGAGAACCTTTGGGTCACCGACGGGCTGTTAGACATGGCTAGGTCACGGTTTGTGATATATATGTGACAAGGCCATGAGTTGATATACGTGACTAGGCCACGAGTTGATATATGTGGTTGTGACCAAATGATTTCTCTGATGTCAGCCAACATCATCGAAACTACCATGGATGTGGGAATCCGATGGAGAGGAGCCTCCCAAATGTTATTACGTGGAAAAGGGTCTAGGGTTGATTATTTATGATTACCTTCTCGAGAGTGATATCTCCTTGGGTTTTCAAATATGTATTCTTTCACATGGTGAGAAATATAGGTTTTTTCACAGCTCCCCTATTTATATGATGGTTTTGTGTTTAATAACTCAAGTATGAGTTTGTTTATATGCTTGTGTATAAGCATTGACATTGCTTGATTTTACAGGAGCGTGCATGCTTATGTTAGTTTGATTTTGAGTAAAGGACATTAAAAGATTGCGACAATAGAAATCTTTTAACTACGTCGGTTTTAATATATTACATGAAATGGTCACTCTGCATCACAATTATTTGGTATATATGTAAGGCATAAATGTTCCATTTTAGTTTAAATTTTTTATATATTCATATGATTTTAATATTCAAATTTTCTATCCTTGGCTTGTTTCCCATCTACGACCTACTCAGGGAGCCAATGATCACTAAGTTTGTGAGACTCACCCCTCTCTTATCTTCCCCTTTTTACAAACAAGTGATCAGCTCGCGTGTATCTCTTCAGCTTATTTTGACTCATTACAATGTAGGTAATGGCTTCTCTTAAACTTTCACTTTGAGTTGCTCCATTGCATAGAAGTCATGTTTGTGTAAAATGGTCAGATTTATAAAATATATATATTTAGTTTATCGGAATTGTATCACCGAACAACTTTGATGTCATGTAATGGATCTAAGTGTGATGTTTGAATGTATATTGAAACTTGCTAGATTTGGATATTGATATCTAATTGCCTATTTTAATTAGTGATTTTTATTCGATTTAAGTTAATGATCATATTTTATACAAGTCGGTAGAATTTTTTTAAAATAGTCGTCATAAAGTGGAACGTTATAAGGAAATCCTAGTCTTTTAATATACGCATTAAAATGTCTAACTTAGTTTGTAAGAATCTTAACTAAAGCTTGTTCAAGATTTGATGGGTTCTCCCACAAGTCTCAAATGTTGGTAACGATCGAGAAAAGGGTCATTACAATCATCGCCCCTTTTTCCTCCTTTGTTTCTCTCACAAACCTCTATGACAAATTTTATAATGCTACAAATCCCAAAAATAAACTAAAAAAAAACCTTCATCTACCCAAGCACTGCTCACTCTAACTTCATTCTTCTCTTTTTTGTTTTCTTTGTTCTCCTTTTTTGCTTTGTTTTGTGATGATTCTTGATTGTTTGGGGCTTGACTGGTAAAAGAACTAAGGGGCTTTTTATTTTTTTGCTATTTTTGTGTTTTTTTCTCATTTTTGTGGTTTTTTCTTGATTATTTTAGGTATATACTAGCTGCTAAAAGAAAATAGGGTTTTGGCTCTTAAGGTTTCCCAATTTTTCTTTTTTGCTAGGGTTTTTATTTTTCTTTTTTCTTTCAGATCTCTTTATTTTTTTAGGGTTCTTTTTCAAGATTTCTTCTCATTTTTTTTAAAATTTCCCTTTCATAGAGGATAGAGGGCAACTTTTATAGTTGCCCTCATTGGTGTTAAAGGGTGGCCATTTGTGCCCTCCCTACAGTAGCCCACAAGGGGTTTTACCAAATGTGAAAAGCTTGTACTTGGAAGGGTGTCAATTGTGCCTGATTAGGGCATTCATACCTTATCATGATTTTCACTAGGCAGGGTTTAGTTGCCATGCCCAACTGTCATTTTTTTCTTTTATTTTTTAGTCATTTTTTATTTTTGAATCTCCATTTTTTTATTTTTTATTTAGTTTATTTACTATTTTAATATATATTTTTGAAAAAAATCAATGTTTTACAGCTATGAGTTGTTTAGAATGAAGCAAGTTAAGTCAATAAATCAAATGTTTGATGGGTTCACAAACATAGTAAAATGATTAAAAACAGTAAGAAAAGGTTTTCCTAAGAAATCCCACCTTGAGTAAAATGATAAGTTAGGAAATCCTTAGGCGAGCATATAGATTATATATTTCAAACATCAAACTTAAGTTGAACCTTCAAAAGAATTATTGACACTTTTTGTTGTCTGTCACTTTTGAAACAAAAAATTTTCTAAGTCTGGAAAGGGTAAAAATATGTGATTTTTATAGAACAATCGTTTGGAAATAAAAGATGACGGTAATGATTCTTTTGGTTTTGAAATGATCAAAAATGATTTTTTTTTTATTTTTGGAGCATGTTTGCTGGGTAAATGGAAATAGAAAATTTAATTCCAGTCAAACTTTTTTTATTTTATTCTTGAAAGTAAAATTTTGATTTTGATTTTTTTTATTTTAACTTTTTTGATATTTTTATCGAATCCAAAAGAGGGGTTGTTTGCTTATTTACATTAAATATTTTAAGTAAATGGAAAGTAAAAAGTAAAGAGGACATTTACTTAAAT